TTATTATCTTTGCAATAAGTGTGATTGGTGATTTTGGATTTTTTTTGTGGATTTACATTCGTCCAACTTCCCCCAATAAGGTTGAAGTTTTCGACATTGTGATTAAGGTGCAAGATCATGACTAAGACTGATTTATCTTATTTTCTTCGGTCGAGAGTTAAGTTAAGCCTAAATGGTGACAAATTGTCCATCGATATTTTGGGTGATGTGGCTTATAGGAGAGATTTTTAGATTAGTTTTGAGATACAATTTCTGGCTCTCTGTAAGTGTGATGATAATGTGTCTTTTTTTCTTTTACATTTTTTCCAAAAAGGAATTGTCTGTTGTTGATCATTCGAATAATGACTCACATCTCTTTTAAAAGGAATTGTTTAAATTCTGATTAATTTATAATCGAACTGTGAAAATATTGTGTGTCTTGTAATAATCAGTAATGTTTTGTAACGATCCATTGCCATAGATAAGATAAAGTCATACTTCTACACAAATCAATAATTATATTCAATGTTGCCACGTACAAGATAGGAAAAGATGGAATGCAGAGATGAACTTGGATACGATAGCAAGCTTTCGTGATGACGCGCTTTCAATTATTCAAAGTGTCACGTACGACAAAAGCGGCATGCGTGAGAAAAGGTAAAAGGATAAGAGAGACAGCACGCGCTTAGCGGGATTGAAAATTCGGCGTCATCACTAAACCTTGATGAATACTGTGCTGTTTGCAAGAGTGGAATTTAAAAAAATTTTCTTTCTTTCCTTATGTTGTGAAAATCTTTTTATCTTTCAATGTAAAAAAAGAAATGATGATAAGTTAGAATAATAAAAGAAGCTGTTGGGTTGGAATGAATACTTGCCGGATATTTATTTCACAGGAGCGGATAGGTCGACCGCTACACTTGACGATGATTCGTTAAATAATTTGGAATGAGCAAAATATTCGTGGCTCTCAATTATTGCATATAAATTAATTTGAATATGCTAAAATGATTTGGTGTAATTAATATGCATACTGCAAAATGATAATTACTGGATATTTATATCGCTGAATCGGATACGCCGATCGTTAACTTGACGATTGTTCGTTAAATAATTTGGAATGAACAAAATAATCATAGCTCTTCAATTATTGCATACAAATTAATTTGCATATGCTAAAATGGTGTGGTGTAATTAATATGCATACTGCAAAATGATAATTCATCACTTCTATAGTTATTCAATTATTTTATTCAAATTTATCCTCCTTAATTTCCATAAATAGAGGTTGTTGTCAGATTACTATCACTTGCTTCTGTCCGGTTGCGTTGATTTCATTTCCACTTTACTGTTATCAGTTGCAAATGTCAGCAAACAAGAAGAGGGGATCCATGAAGAGTAACTCAAATTCTGCCCAAGCCGGATTAAACTTTCCTGCTGGTCGTATTCGTCGTTTGCTTCGCAGGGGTAATTACGCTGAACGGATTGGTGTCCGTGTTTCAGTTTTTCTTGCAGCAGTGCTTGAATACCTTTCTGCTGAAATTTTGGAAATGGCTGGAAATGCGGCACACGCCAATGAGAAGAATCGGATCAACCTACGACACTTACAATTAGCAATACAGAGTGACGATGAACTGAGTGCGCTTCTATCCAATGTAACGGTCTCTCAGGATAGTGTATTACCTAATATTAATTCTGCGCTTCTTCCTAAGCAACCAGCTGATATGCCATCAACTTCGACCTAATGTTATCTAATTTGATCTTATTATGGGTCATTAATCTATGATATTGTATCGTATATAGGTGATTTCCTATTTGAAATGGAATAAAAATTTTATCTATGAACAATGTCCATATGCTTTTTTCTATGTTTCTACCATTTTCTTTCGCATTTAGCAGTGGTCAGCATTTAAATTCACTAATTTCGAGCACAATCCACACATACTTACCCTCACTATGTACATCTAATTTAACTGTGAAAGGGATGAGATTAACTGTCAGCAAATGACAAAATTCGATCAGTGTGTGTTCGAATTTTTCTTTCACCGGACAGTTTTTTTCCGCCTGTAAAAATTTGAAGGTGTTTATTGCAATAGTTTAAAGGGAACTTGATGGATTACACGTCGTTTCAGAGGGTAGCAGGGGAAGCATCGAGAGCTGACATGGCATAATGATTATGTTTTAATCTCGAAGAATGAAAGGTTGAAGTAGGAGAAGCATTGGAAATTAACGGGCACGTGTGATGTTATATCTTAATAAAGGAAACATTGGATTATTTAGAGGATCTACGTCTGCGAATATTTTATTCGGACTACTGCATCATACATACGGGTTAATTATAGATCATTCATTAGATACGACAATATTCCTTACGGAACGAAGGTTTAAAACCAGAGCGGTCCATTAGCACTCTGAAATAGCTTCATCGCCTCTTAAGATCGACGACTATGAATATATTTTTTGCTATTTGCTTTTCAAATATGAATCTAAGCAAAGGAAACATTATCTTGATTATTGTCCGCTGTTAACGGGTATGATCGAGACGAAATGTTTAATTCAATTCATTACGGAAACGTTGATAAATGTAATGGTGTCACAATGAAATTTTTTTGGTAACTTGTTATTCGAAATTTTTTTTATCCAGGATACCGGACAAGAATATCTTCCGGTTTGATGGTGTTGAAGTTTGGTGGTGTTCTGTATGGGTCAAATAGCGTCCCTTCAACGAAGAGCCAATGTCCCGAATGTAACAAATGGGACAGATAATGATGATGGGGACTGTGAAATGCATCGCTTTTCCAGTCATCCAGGTAAAAAAACGTAATTTTGAGTTAAAAAAATTTTGAGTTTTTGTACATATGACGAATTCCAATCCAATAGAAATTAATGCATTATACTACTTAATGATATCCTATTTAATATTAACATACTATTTCTGGACGTATATTCGTTCACGTTGTAGTGTGGTAAAGAAATTTGCTCGTATTAAACAGCGTTGTTTGAATATAATCGATAAGATGTTCCGGCATCGTTCTCTTCTCGTATGATTGTGTAATTTTTATCCAGAATGATTACGCGATATTTATTTAAACATATGTGTTAAGTATGCTCATTTTTTGGATTTAGAACTTCAAAAAACTTTGAAAAGTAGAGTAATATTTTTAAGGAGCTTTTTTCGGTTCATACTTCTTATTGGGCGGTGAACGATATGATCTGGCAAAACCGGAAGCTTTTTTATTTGGTGAAAATGCAGATTTAGACATACTTGGCAACAGATCAGTGCAGGTATTCATTTGGTATGAATGTGAACTCGTCTAAAATTTTTCTTAGTTTTTGTTAAAGAGCTCTTTTATTGTTTTTTTTTTGCTTCTCTCTCTAGGAGTATAGTGTAAGCTTATTTTGTTCTTTAGTTTCCATACTCGAGTCAACCAGTGAATGATCCGGTGAGGACTTTAAATGCTTTAATCAATCTTCGCAGAGATTCGCTAAAACTAACAAAGTAAGTGAATCAGAGGGCCTTATTTTGTTTCTGCAGGTGACGCATAGTTAGACACCACTACCTAAAGTTTTTGCCACATCATCTTATAGCGGAGTATATGCTTATCTGCTGTGTGAAAAGAAGGGCTCGCAACCTATGTTTTGTAGAGTAGAGGTGAATGAAAGAATCAAATAACTAATCGAAATTAGCAGGAAGTGTGAGTTAGCAAAACTTCTTATGGTTTTCCATGAAGATACCTGAAAATCTTTGGCAACTTATCCAGGAATTTGCGAAATATTACTTCTGAAATTTATGCTTTTTTCTATCAGAAGCAAAAACGATGCATCAGAGAATAACAAGAATTCGTTCTGCTTGGAATTCTTTTTCGACTGTGACAGTGCCTGTTATGTACAAATTCACTTCTTTGCAAAAGAATATGTTAACGATGGACGTATACAGTATGTGTTTTCTAAAGCTGATTAAAATTTTGCTACTGCACTTTGAGGGTAATTCCTTTGCAGAACACCATACCAATCTCCTATAGATGGTACCTCCGACCGTCTTTAGTATCCGTCTCTGTGAGTACTTTTGTAAATGCTTCTTAGTATCTTCCAGTCATGTAGAATAACAGTACTAGAATATAAAGTGCTGTTTAATTACAATTCCTGCTGTCATTCAACATTAGCTGTAATCATTTCTAACGCGTTTGCTTGCAGATTTGTACACAAATATCCTCAGCTGAAATCATCTGAGCAGTATTATTTTGATGTTGGTGCAGAACAGCATTTCAACAAATTCGTAATGGACACAAGTGTATATGACCTTAGTTCCGTATGTCTTTCTGTGCCTTTATGTTTTTGTTTTAAACAGATATATTGGCATAAATCATATGGAACTTTGGCCTTTTTTGGATAAAAATGTGTAACTGACATAATTGTTCTAAATATACACTCGTTATTTTTCTTGATATAGCATCTACAAAGGATATAGTTGTATGATGAGAAATTTGAATTTTTCAGATGCATTATGATAGCGGTTCCTACTTCCCAGTTGTTATCGAAATTCGTGCCGTTGATTGTGGTATTGAGCAGATGCAATCAACAATGGCTAGCATCGAACACGCAACCGATCAGTGTGCAACTTTTGTTATAAAAGCGCTCAAACAGAAATTGGTTAATATTTGGTTTAGGTTTTATCTTATACAAAGACTGACTGTTTGGAAGCATTCAGTAACTGACTATCCACTGCCTTTTTACACAGATTTCGTGGGACCTTGAAGGAATATGCTTCTTCATATTTCGACATTGTTCGGCAGCTACATAGTTTTGGAGAGAGTCAATTCTTTATACTGTAGTTTCAGTTCAGTATTAAGGTATTGAGACGAGACCACTTTGTAGGTTGCTGATGGCGTAGTATATTTATTGCAAGAAATTTATGGAATTGAGAATAAGGAACACGATCTTGGTGACGAAAATGGATCCGAATGCATCATTTGTATGTCTGATATTCGTGATACTGTTATCCTTCCATGTAGGCATTTATGTATTTGTAATGGTTGCGCGGAAACATTGAGGTACAAGGTTAGTTTTGAGATATAAGGTCAATTTTCGATTCTTTTAAAAGTGTTTTCATCAATATTGCAAAAGAATTTAGGCTTAGACATCGTCTTTTGTTGTTCAGTTTTTCATCATTGTGTGTTAACGTTGTCAAATCCTGAAGAGTGTTTTCTTTAGGGATATCCGAACTTTATTTTTGTATTTCATGCTTGAGAAAACTTTCTGTGGAATTTTTTCCCATCTCTGTCAATGAATTCCATTGAATTTATTGCATTAAATTCCAGTTAAATAATTGCCCCATTTGTCGTTCTCCATTCCGTGCACTACTACAGCTAAAGACGATGCGTGTTGTTAGTACGGTTTCAATAACTGATCAGTCACCATCTTCGCAACAAACTCGTTCACAAACTAGGTGCAGTTCACCAATTGTCACTTTAAAAAAATTTCTGCTTATTTCCTTCTTTTGAAAGTAACCAACATTTTTATCTAAGATTTAGATTACAAATGTTCTTCCTTAGAAATTACTTTTAAACTGTCCCAAATTAGCAAAAGAACTGTAAACGGTAACCTGCTCTCCTTTAAGGTACGAAACAATGACGTTAGTAGAAGCACTAAATGGACCGATCAGCCACATACAGTCTTGCGTTGTACCAACTGCTCCACTTGGCTACAACATCGATTCTCCTCATGAAATGTCTACATCTCTTAATTCAAAAGTCACAAGACGTTCTTCACGATCTTCAGTCGCTATACAACAGGTTATAATTTGTTTTTATCTTTCGGTTATCAAGGAAGAATTTTCAAGGTTACCGATCATCATAGAGGATTAGATGCTCACTACTGTTACGTGATCAGATTGAAGGACTCTTTGGTAAACAAATGCTCTCAATAGTTAACTTTATTCAAAGCTTCGTAGGTATATATATGTGAGTTATTGAAAATGTATTCTGAATAAATTATTAGTGCTATTACTACTCCGTGTGAAATTGTATCGCACTTTTTTCCATTGAAGGTGCTCACGTTGAACAATCAGGGTCGAAACAAGAAGGATAACACTGTTTGTATAGAAATGAAATCGGCCGATGAATTTAAAAATGTAAGCCTATATGAATCTTCTAATTTGATTACATGTGACCTGAACGAAGCAACTAGAGTAGGAAACAATGTTTAACTTTATAGACTTCGAAGAGTTATAACTCACGGAGCACTTTTATGTCTCTCAATTTAATATCAAGAAGTTCTGATGCTTCAGGGAGAGGAAATGTCAAATGGTTGTTCGACAAGTCGGTGTCCTGATTGTCCATCCGATGTTACATCTTCGTCGATTTCCTCGCATGGTCGACGTTACAAGAAACAGCAGACTGTGTCACCGCGGTTTAACCGAAAAGGATCAATTGAAAATGTTGTTGCTCAAGAAAATGCGCCGATTGAACTTGCCAAAAATTCCGATGATATTGCCACAGAACAGGATTCATAATTTTTATCTTAATTGCTGAAAATTCATCAAAGCACTTCCTTCACATCTTTATTTTATATTTTATTCTTCACACGTATTTTCTATGCATATGGCTTCCTATATTGCTATACTGCTGCTAAATCATAATTGCCATTTCGTCTTTTTGTTCTTTTTCCTTTTCTCATCTCAACAATGTTCTTTCTCAGAAAGCAATTTAAAAGCTCCTATCAAGTGATGCATTTATGTAAATTGTTGAAATTGCACTTATACTAGTGTTGTATTCTCATCTTGTGCTCTTTTTTTCCGTTTCTTTCCCTTTGTAATATGTCACAATCGATAAAAAGGTGCACTACTTAGAAATTTTTATCACTTTAATTCTTATGGAGCTTTTAGCTTTTCTTCGACTATGCACATCTGCGTAATATCCATTTTTAACAACAAACAAGTAAACATAAGCATGGAAATATCATGTTACACCACTCACCGAAACTTTGAGTGCGATTAAGCGAGTTCAGAGATTTCCAGTTTGGTACGTCTTCTATCCTCTGGTTCATAAATTTCACAACATATCGTGATCAAATATCGACTTTGATTTCCGTAGCACTTGCTTTTGAATTTTTTTTGGAATGCTTCCTACTGATAGCCAAGTGCTTAATTAATTCCTCTTGTTTAACGACCTTGCCATGACTTTGCATATATTCCATAAGAGACTGCAAGTGCTTTGCATGCTTCATCATTGTTGCATTACCCACCAGGACAAACTGCCGACGAGCTCTCGTCACAGCAACATTGAGGCGTCGTTCATCTTTCAGAAATCCAATTCGACCTGCAAAAAAAAGCATCTAATTTTATTAAAAGAAAACTGATATGAAGTTTATCAAAACTACAAATAGAGTTTAAATACAATAAAAAAGAAGTTTGAATTTCTTGCCAAAAATAAAGTTTATATTTGTTTAAATATAAGTTGTATACAAAAGCAACATTACCGGCGCTATTATTTCTGACCAATGACATAACGACTACTTCACATTCCTGACCTTGAAAGGCATCCACGCTGTTCACCCTGCCAGTTTTTAATGATTTCTTCAACATATCCACCTGAAAATGGACTTCTGTGTAATCACATATTAAAGATAGCTTCTATTTGAATAGTTTTATTCATGGGAAGAAAATCTGAGCCTAAGGAGTCGTCCAGAAAGAAATAAGTGAAATTTATTCATGTGATGTAAAAATTAGAACGTTATATAATCAAAATGTGTTCAATCAGACCTGTGCAACATACGGTGTTATAATACCAATGTCTTCTTCTTGTACACCAAATATGCTCAATGCATTAACATATTTGATGATTAATTTCGCTTCTACTGCAAATGACTTATATTTAAATTCTCGAATATCCAGAAACATAAACTGTTCTATAACTAGCCTCAAATTAATGCGAAGACAATCAATTTTCAATAGTCCAAAATGATTTTAAAAATAAATTTCTATAAAAATTTACACGCATTTGCATAGGAGTATCGATATAGCTTTTCTTTACTTTCTTTTGATTTATCATGGCTTGTGTCAACGAATATCATTGGTTCATCGAATAAACTTCCTTTAGGCACTTCGCTTATATCACTAGAACATATTTAGGAACATAAATTTTTGAGGTGATCATCAACAACTCGCAGAAATTTATTCCAAACCTGAATATCGCGGTTGTAATTATACAGAAATTAGGCCAGTTAATAGACCAATTTATTTTTATGCAATCTAGTTCATAAGTTAAATCATGCAATTTCATAAAATATACGAAGCAAATGTTACCAAACTAATGTACCTCAAAAGCTGATCAGCAATACGTTCATTCGGGCGCAACTGTGATTTGTAAAAAAATGAAGAAGGCCAACTGAAAAAGAAAATTTCTTATTTAAATGTTTAACAAAGTAAATTCTCATTATCATTAAAAATCGCAAATAATTTTCTGTTCCTTCAATAAATATGCAACTAACTCCATAATTTTCTTATTCATACGATACTGCTCTGTTAACATGAACGAATTAGCTTCACCAAATCTCTTGGACAAAGTATCCATTAATGAGTTATTGATGTCATCCACTTCCGATATTCTTAAAATACTTTAAATTCTTTAAAAAGAATTAAAAATTATCTCCAAATAGAACAATGATAAAACAGAACTGGGGAATTACTAATCATAAGGGAGGAAAACCAAACTAAGCTATGTTCTTGTTCTCGATAATGCTCTAATAGTATAATTGAATTACATTTCCCAATAAAAGCATTTCAGACTAAGCTATAAATAAGCTAAATACCTTTACAACTTCTTACTCATAGTGCGCAACATGATGAATTATTTATTTAATTAATTCATAAATTAGATCACAAAACTATTCTAATTTCATGAAAAAATCTCACTTGACAAAGTCTGCCAGCTCTACCAGGAACAGCTTAAAAAATTCGAAAAGTTGAATTAAAGGTGTCGAGCTATACCTTGAAGTTTTCAAAACCGGTGGTAATTGCCATGGATCACCAACAATTACAGCCCTTGGAGATAAAAGCAACGAGTACCATGCAACACATTCCAAAGCTTGTGCAGCTTCATCTATTACTGTCAAATTCGGTTGAAAACCTTGTTCACGAAGGAATCGCAGTGAGTTATTGGTTAATGTACATACAATCACTTGTTTACGACTTACAATATTCTAAAAAATTCGAAGAACCATAAATTACTGAAATAAAAATTGGACAATTTTGAGCATTCCTAAATTTTCCAATCAACAGGATCTTGAATTCTACAATATTCCGATGGACCAAAATATCAAGAACAAAGATGCATGAAAATATGCACACATATACTACATTTAGAAATTGCTTCAAGGAAGGACTTATTTTCCTCCACCTTTTTATCTATTACAAAAGCTAAGATTTCTACTCTGATCTTGCACTTCTGAGAATTTTAAATCATACAAAACAAAGAAGCAAGTACAGGGAGCAAATACTTTTACCTCTTTTAATTGCCATAACATCTTACTGGCATCATGCCATGCTTTTTTATTTTCATCACGATTATTTTCGGATATTCCGCTACCTTCTTTTGAATCCTGTAAAATTTAACATTATTCCCTTAAAATTCATCACTTTAAAAAAGAAGACTAAAAATTAACAAAAATGGGAATTTAATGAAACTATCTTATCATCAACTTTACATAGTGAAGTTCAATCAGCTATTTTATTCCAATTGTCTCCCTTTCATTCGTGACTGCAAGACTGTGATTTTTTTAAAAATGTTTATGACTTTTTTTCAACTTAATTTTTTGACTACAGTCAATAGTACAAGCTTACAAAAGATATCAAACCAATTTTTCGAAAGCAAATTGAATATCAATGAATTTGTCATGTTGCTCCAATTCATTGGCCAATGATAGTTCTGAATTAAATCCCAGTGCACATATTCCAGCCAAGTCCTTTAATCGACTCACAATATTATTTACTGCAACGTTTGAAGGGGCACAAATAAGTACCTGCAAATTGAAGACATGGTGAATTTTATTATTACATTAGGAAATATCGCAACATTACAAAGAAAAGCTGAATTCATCTCAGAAAGATGAAAAACTTTGATGGATGAGATGCAGCAATAACTGAACCCATGAAATACGAAAAACACTTTTTTATCGACTATCAGTGCGCAGGGTGGCCAACGAAATGGAAAAATCTCCTTAGGAATGGTCTTCCATATTTAATTAATATATAATTATGTGACTTCGATGAAGATTGAAAACGATAAATTCGTCGTCATTTGTGAGGATGAGTCCATACATAAAACTACTGCTATCTAATTCAAATATCTAATTCAACCAAAAAATTCCATGCATTCGCCATTTCAATTTCTGACTACTTGAAAAGAGCCACAAGTTAAATTTTTAGTCTAAAAAAAGAAAAAAAATCTCAGGCGGTTCGAAATAAGAACTGTTTTGAGGTCAAGTTCAAAGTAAAAAGAAGGCAAATAGCTCAAATATCTATTCTCTTACCAGAAAAAATTTTAAGCAGAAAATTATTAAAACATACCTTTTGCTTCCTACTGACAGCTTCCACCACAATCTCCGCAATAACAGCCGTCTTTCCTGTACCAGGTGGACCATGAATGGTCACAATTGGTCGACTTTTGTTTAATGCAGCAGCTACAGCACGTCTTTGGTCCTCATTGAGTCTAACCGCTTTTTTAGAAACTTCATCTAAACAAAATATCATTGATATTATTGTTTTTCTCAAGTTTCAACAATGTTAAATCAAAAAAAGAATATGATTCTAACACGGCTACTCCGATTACGATAGCAGCCATACAATTGCCTTACGTATAACCTTTTGACATAACAGCTGAATCTTTTAAACCAAAAATGCTATAAAAGCTGTAGATTATTTTAAGAAATTTATAGCAAAAATGCTGTAAATTTCTGAAAATAATCTTTAAGAAAAAATTTTATCCCCTAATGTACGTCTTTCTTCTATTATATAGAGTATTTGCATAGACAAATTTTTATCATCAGCAAATCTTATTTAATGTTTCTATACTTATGTCGTTAAATTCAAGGATTGGATTTTAAGAAAATCCCTATAATGGAAAGTATGTGCATATTTGAATATCAAACCGAATTACCTGGCTTTGATATCGGTAAAGGTAAACTACAATAAACATAATGGATCAATTTTTCGCCTGGAAAATCTCTCCATTTCAATTCCTAAATTAAAAAAATTTTCATAACCGGCAATTATCCTAGATAGATGATGTTTGGTGAAAGCATGAAATAGTATTCGGTATTCCCAAATACTAAATTATACGAGGACCAAAGTTCTTTGTATCATTATTAATGAGTGATATAATCAGCAACTGTAATTATAATCAATACAATTTTTTAACACAATTTTAAATCTCTAGAATTTTTTAACATAAAAAATTCGTTATATTAGCAAAATCTAATATTCTACAGACCAGTAACTTACCAGAAATTCATCTAAAGCTATCAGATATCCTAGTCCAACAGATGGCACTAATACAAATTCATCAGAAGAATCAATATTCAGTTCTTTTTTTGCTTTTATCTTCAGATTCACTTGATTTCCAGAGTATGAAATTACAGTACAATCGCTAACGCATGTAAGCTCTGGAATTCGGCATAACAACACAGGCGTACCTACAAATGAGACTTGAATAATTTCTAAATTTCCAGACTTCGTCTTTCAAATATCCCCCTCATTTTAGAACAGCTAAGAATTATGAAATTTGAAATTGAACAAAAATAAAACCTGGACGAAAAGTTTTTTTCATGACTTTCTGCTCTATTCCTTTTATTTGGTGTAAGACAATGACACGCCCGTGCAACGCATGTAAATACTGAGTTTGGAAATGAAGTTCTCCCGAAATCTGGCCTAGTTTTTCCAGTTCGTCAATCGACGGATTGAGCAGAAGATCCCTGTAAAATGGAAAATTTCCGAAACAACAAGAAATCGTCGTCCATTAGTAAAGAAGGCCAGTCAAAAAATCAACCGGACATAAATGAAACGTACCGGATTTCTTTGACACCAGACGCAACTTCGTTTTTTAGCAATTCTTTCCATCGATTAACCTTTTCATGAAAGTCCGAGTGTAAAGCGACATTTTTTGCATATTTCTGTGGCTTCCTTCTGTATTCAGGATTTCTTTAAAAAAAAAAAAAAAAAANAATGTCGGGTATGAATTCTCGGATGTTTGTATTTCTCAAAAAACTTTTAAATTTCAGTACAAAGGGAGTATTTATCCTTTAGATCGAATGAATGTGGACAGCGTATAGCCTACAATACATTATAGATAAAGAATGAAAAATATCAGGACCTGCATTTGCCATTTAAGCATGATGTAAGTAATTTTTTCGTATTAGTAAAAGAACAATACCCTGTGTGTTTCTTTCTTATGAAATTTTGATGGAGAGGCTTTCCCAATTTACCATTCTGAATCAGATTACCGAAATCCTTCATGCATCCAGAAAACAAATATATTTCCAACCGGAATACAGCACGCCGAAACATCCGTTCATTAAGCTGAAAAAAAAAAATGCTACTTATTAATTGACATGTATCATATCGGATTTCTCATGACTTTCGTATTCTCGTAAAATTAAGATCTTTCGCTAACTAAAAATTCAAAGTACATCCACATTCAGGAAAGAACACAGAATCTTCGAGACAGCGACCCACGGAAAAAGATACGTACCGCTGACGAGTCTGTTTCGTTTCATGGTGGAGTAGTTGACAGTTTCAAACAATTGATCAAGCGCTTTTTGGAAACAAACCTCAAAAGCTTCTTCTATACCTTTGATCCCGCTAAAAATATAACTGTAGTTTTTTTATAAGAGTAGAGAAGGAACAAATGGATGAAATAGTCAGTTATTTTTCTCTGTTCTGTAACACTCAAACTTATCACATATTTAATTGAAATTGTGAAATTTTCAAAATTCAAATGTTAGAATGATGATTTTGGAAAAATTTGTGAAAATAGATGAAAAAAATTCAACTTTTCTAAGTGTAAAACAATTCGTAACAATCGATAGTGTAATATTGTTCTGTATTCATTTTCACTTCTTCCACACATATTATATTCCATCACAAATTTATTGATATTCAAGCAATCGATCAATTAAAATCAAAAACACTCAATATTTTTCATTTTACACTCATTCATAACAATATCTCGTTTTTGTTTCACAATGTAAAATGCCGAAACTATCAAATTAATTAACAAATTATGGAAGTCAGATAAAAATCTCGACATCATTTATATTTTAAGGAAGAAAAAATTTTTTTCTCGATTTTTTTCATACATAAAATTAAATTACATTCATTTCAGTGATATTATACTATAAATAACCAAACAAAACATTTTTTAATACTATATTACTCATCGAATAATTACGTCTTGCATTTTCATACAACCAGTAATGATCAATTGAATAAATAAATAATTATAGTTAGCTCGATTATTTTTTTTCCGATCGATGACTAACAAAGTGATATTCTTACTCAATTTTTCTGATTTTAAAATTAATTTTATGAAAGATTTGCTGAATCATACAACCGTTACATTTGATCTTAAATGTTTTATTTTAATAAAAAATTTTAATGTTGAAATATTGTAGTTTAGAATGAAATGTATTGTGTGAAATTAGTAATGGGAATAAATTTTCATCATGTTTGCTCTGTTTGGGTAAGCCTAACTATATGTAATTGTTTATTACGAATATTTTCCATTGCTTCTTTTTCATCTTTTATTCATTCAATAAATTAATCAATTCTTCGGTTTAATTCATATTAGAAATTTCAACTATCTACTTTTCAATTCCATTATATTTCGCCAATAGCTTCGGTTACATTTCAAATTCATCCACTACCAACTTCTTCGGCCATTCTTTATTCATTTTACCAATATTCTGATTACTTATTAAGCGGTTTCCTTTCAATAATTTCCGTTATTTTTCCTTTATGTATTATGCATTATTATGAGCATTAGATTTATCATTATTTCATTGAAGCATTTATTCATCAAAAATTAATACTATTAAAACGAAAAAATTATTAACTTTCATTATTTTTCTTTTTTTTCACTTCATTTCTGAAAGAATTTCATTCTTTATGATTTGGATATATTTCAATAAAACTTAATGATTAAAAGCCTTTTTTGTTTCTCCTTATAATGATAAATTAACACTGTTCATTTCTCATATTCGCTCCAATCCTCTTATTTTTTCTAATTTTTTATCTTTAGAAATAGCACTACTATAAATTTCTAACTAATACTAATAAATCAGATGTAAAAAATGAAAGAAAAAAAAAAATTCAAAATCTATCGTATGATGATTTTACTGAGATCAAATAAAAGAAAAGAAAGAACGAAAAATATACCAACATGCTACTACTGATAAGCTTTTTTTTTCTTTTAAATTTATCTAAAATTAAGTAAAAGAGGAAGAGAGAAAGAAAGTAAAGAAAAAGACGATGAAATTTTAGAAATAAAAACAGCTGAAATGCAGTAGTTAGTTCGCCAGTTAGTTTGTTTTATTCGTATGCAATCAAACACATCCAACAGCTGCTGCTTGAAAAGTTAAAACTCTTACTTAGCAAATCGTTTCAATGAATGATGACGATAATAATGATGATGATAATGATGATAGTGATGATAGTGATAATGATGTTTGTATTGAAATGAATCATTATTAGTGAGCTGATTTCTTTCTACTATATTTTCTCGATATCTATTGCTTGTTGCTATTTTTGTCAAAATTGCAAGATTATCAACAGATTTTGTCTTAACATTATTTTTTTATTTTTGCAGCAAGCAGTTAAATGAATAAAACTGAAGCATTATTCGATCATTCGAATCATTCCTCTCAATTTTTATTCAATGATTATTCAAATCATTTGTATTTTTGGAATTAACTTTTGCTTAAACTTTTAAAATTTTTATCATTTTTTGATACAATAAATAAATAACAGTGCACTGATATATTAGTGTAAATCATTTTTTGTATCTTTTTTTTTTCTCTTCTAAATAAACTTTTTAAATTTCGGTTTCATTTTTCACCTTCCTCTTCTACTCTTTCCATTCTTTTTTACTGTAATTTATTAGAAGAGTGCTTTGTATGCTGCTTTTCGAACATTTTTATATATTATGTATGTGTTTGATTTTATAAAATTTATTGGGTAAGTTAAATTTCAATTGTTAAATTTGCTCTTCTTCCAAATTTAATTTTATTTATTACGAATTATGATATGGAGTATAATGGTAAAAGAATTCGTTGGGATGAAATTTGAAACTATTAATTTTACTAAATCTTCTTAATAAATTTGAAAAAAGGAAATTATTTCAAGGATTTAAAGAAATAGGAATGTTCAGAGAATTTTGGTCAGATTAATTTCGAAAAAAAATTTTTGAAAATTTCTAAAAAACTTTTTTAATAAGTACTAAATAAGCAAGAGAATTGCTCAAAATAAATCAAAATCTCGATAAGAGTATGGTAATATCTATATGATATTGTATTTATTTATCATCTCATATCGATAGTAAACTATGAAGTTCCAATTTTTTAACCTTAAATTTAATTTAGTTAACTTTAAAAGATAATTGTAATTTTAGCAGCAAAGCATTGTGAAAATATTCAATGCAAAAATGTTAAACAAATTAATTATAAATTCTGTTACATCCAATTTTTACTCAATTTTTTCTCCTTAACTTTCATTTTTTCTACTCTTGCTATCTCATCAATTTTTTTTCATTCTTCATTTTTTACTCCTTTATTAAATTTGCTTATTAATTTTTTTAAATTCTCAACATCATGATTTACTCTTGTAATACTTGATCGATTGACAAATGACATTGCTAGGCAATTGAAGGATGAATAAATTTATCATCAGATATTTACCTAATCACTTTATTATATAATTTGATTTGCAAATCTTTTGTTATAATTAAGTTTATCGTTTTGTATGAGATGAAATGATATAATTTTGCTTTTTCCTTTCATTTATTTCAGTTTATCATTAAAAATCCTTGCAACAATGATTACTTGATAAAAATATAATAACGCAATATAACAAAATTATATCATTTCTTTTTTGCTCCATTCGTACATTTGTTAATGGATGAAACGGAATAGTTTAAGAAGAAAAAAAATTTTTTTAAAACGATAATAATGCTTAAAGAAGTTTACAAATATATCGATCGTCTCAGTTATCAAATAAAATCTTTTTTTTTTCTTTTTAAACTATTATTCCTATCATTCCATTTATCACCAACAAAATTGCTACCAATTAAAATTTCCCAATCGTTTATTTCTTTCTTCCCCCGCTTTTTCTCCCTTCTATCTCCCAATATCATTTTTTTCTCCCTCCATATTCTCTTATTTTTTTTATTATCATATTTTATATCTTAGATTTTAATGCTATTTATGCCTGAGGTACCCTGCTTATTTGTCAATTAAACAATTAAAAATGCCTGTTTAATCTATTGATTGATTAGTGTCATATAATTTGCTGAAATTTTTATTGTCTACAATTTATATCTTAAGTGTTTGGAATAAAAATAACAACTAATAGAATGAAAAACATTAAAAACTTAACTAATTAAAATTCATTTTCAAAAATATATTATTATTTTGGGTTTGATTTAATTTCTGCCCCCTTCTTTCTTAATTTATTCTTGTACTTCATTATATTAAGTACAGAATGTAAATAATTTATTTTTTCAACGGCAAAAAAAAACTTGTCTAGTGAAAATCGTTAATATTTACCACTGCACCAACATATCTTACTTCCTCATTCTTCTTCTCTCCCTCCCTTTTTCTCTGTTCCTTCACTCTCTTTCCATCAAAAAATTTCCTCAATTCATGTTTTTTTTCCCCCATTGATATAGTTCGTATATTTGCTATGCTATTATCAAATTTTAAAAGTGAAATTTTGCTAAAGCTATTTAAATAAAATAGTAACAAATGTTTCACGAAATATTTAAAATTTTAATTTAAGGGATTAGGGTTTAAAACGAAAAAAGAAAAAAGAAAAAAGACAATGCGTCCACTTGTCTTAAGTACTGGATTGATGACACGAGCTCAATCAACTGCTGATGAAATTGAAACAGCGACAAAATGGTGGCATGATTATCCTACATCGTTAGTTTTTCTCCTATTTAAACTTTATTTTTAATAAAATTTAAAAAATATGCAAAAATTATTTGGAGTAATTATGTAAAAAGAAAAAATTTAGCATAATGTAATTATTTTTTTCTTTTTTTTTTAAATAAATTGTTTTAGTTTTATTAAAAATTTGAAAATTTTCATCTTATACCATTTTTTTTCAAATTAATATTATTCAGGCGATATGTCGATTTAGCGCGTCCTGAAAACACATTTCGAAATTATATGTCGAATGTTTGGAGTAAATCGAAAGAACTTGCACGATCAGCTTCCTATACCAATCTTACTTACATTAAGGTAGTTTTTTGTTATCCATTATAATTGATCAAGAAAGGAAGGAATTGACAAAAAGAAGTGAAAAAATTATTTCATTATCAAAAAAACGATTAAAATTTTGACTTTTGTCATCTTTAAAATTTTTCAAAATTACAATTCTTCTCTGTTTGCTTAAATTACAAATCATATTATTAACACATTTAATTAAATGTAGTATTTTTCGTTGATTTTAAGGCATTATTGTAAATTTAACATTTTTGAGAAAAATTAAAATGTAAGAACAACGAAAATTATTTACATATCCTCCATAATGGTGGATTATTCGTTTTTGAAATTTAATCAAAATTCAAGGAAGCCGAATATGATTTTCCAATCCGTCGATCGACATCTGTCTCATCACTTGCACCATCTTTAGCATTACCACAACATCATCGTCAAGCGGAGCGCATTATCGATACTGCACGAGTTTATCAGCCAAAAATTTACAACTGGTATAATAATTCCTATAGTAAAGCACGATGGATTGTAAGTTTTACTAACTGATCAATTCTTAAATTCTTTAATTGAAATTAGCTAAACAATAACATTAAAAAAAAAACACTAAATTTGTTTTAAATTCTGCAAAATATTTCAAAAGCTCTCATTGAAATTTTTGAAACTGATATAGCATGCGTATTTTGTATATTAATAATTATATACACATATCGGTTAAATTATACAGTAAAATAATTTTATTTCTTAATGAAATATATTTTCTAGTTAAAAATTTTTTTTAAACAATTAATTAATTACAGGATACTCATGAAACTATAGCGAAACCAATTCGCATGCCATCCTTTGAACCAATGCCCTATAGTTCTTATGTTCCATACTACACATTTCAAACAAAGAGGATATTTTTCAATGAAGTTTGTAAAAAGAAAAAAATTTTTTTCCATTTCAATAATGTGTAATAAATTAACGATGAAACTTAGATTATCCAGTTATTTAGTTATTTAATTACTAAATTATTCAAGTATTTTTTCTTTTTCAAGAAATAACAATTGAAAGTAACAATTATAGCGAATAGAACCATGGAAATCATACATTGCTGGATCACAAAAGTATTTGGATCGATATGTATCAGCAAGACTTAAAGCGGATGATTTTGCACAACAATACGCTTATACTGCATATGATTGGAGATATCCTCAGGTATTATGAAAAAATCTTCAATTTAAATTTAATTTATGTACCTAAAAAGTATCTCTATGTGAATGTATTGTTATTTTTAATTGAAAGCTTACTTTGATTTAATTATTAAAGATTGATTAATTATTTGCATAATTAATTTGTTACTTTATAGATTATCACATCAATTACGCTAATATAATTTTTTTAATTTTAGGATCATGCATTCAATCGGCATTTTATGTACGGTAATGGCGTATATATCCCTCATGCTTCACGTATACCGCACTCCTATAACGATGCGCAAGCGCTACGAAAACTTTATATCACAACCGGACGATTCCGTTTTGCATGAAACTAATTTTGCCAGGTCAATTATATGTTATCTTAAAGATAAGAAACGAAAAAAAAGAACACTTCTATTGTGTTTTAATTGAATTTACTAAAGATGGTGTGATGATACGGTTTTTAATTTGTTCATCTAATAACAATTACTTGATAATAAAAAAACTGATCAATAATTTGCTCCAAATTAATTGCCAGCATTACGAAAAATAAATGTATAATTGAGAAATAAATAAACAATTTTCAATTCAATTTAATTGTTTGATTTATGATTGGGATTCATTATTCGAATCCAACCAATAAACAGTAAATCGATAATATAAATTCAAATTCAAATCTATCAGTAAACAATCGGAAAAATATGATATAATGCAATTCTTCGATTAAAAAAAAAAAGCTTTTGCAAATTTAACAGAAATTCACTTTGAAAAATAATCAATAGATCAAGATATGTTAAAAAGTAGAAATGAAAACATTCATAATAAATACCTGTCATAATAGAAAGAATTCTACTTCAATTATAACAAATATCATCAATCTGACAGCAAAGAACAATAAACTTATCAGCAGTACTGATAAGATATTGAATCATAACTTTGCTTAGGTCATCTTTGAATTTTAATAATAGTTAAAAGTTTCAAAGTTAAACAGCTTTAAATACATCATATACTGCTACATATCGTTCACTACCAATTAATATCTACGTAAAATAAAATGAATCACTTTCATAAATCGTAACTTCTAAAAAGCAAAAATTAAAACAAATAAGTTTGAAATAGAATCATCCTGAAATAGCTCCAAATAATCAACATGACAATAAAAATTCAGCAGTAACATTACTAAAAACACATCTGATATATTAAAATATATTTGCAAGTTAATCAATATTTTAGGTATATTTTTGTTAATGATCATCTTCCTAAATGAACTAGAAATACTTTCTATTTTCATACAATTAGAATGATGAGAACAAAAAAAAAAAAAGATTTTGAGTTGTTAAAATATTATTAAACCAAGATGACTGATGATATGCAGTCGATGAAATTATTTTGAGAAAATTTAAAAATTAATTGAACTTGTTTAAAATCATACAGAAGTAACAGTAGCAGAATTATCATTGGTAATGTTGAACAATTCCTGATTTCAGCAAAATGAATGTTGTTACGTTTGAATCGATGCTATTACGTTTCAAACATTGTTTAAAATGGTCGATTCAAAAAAAAATGAACAGTTTCTCTTTTAGCTAATAAATAATGCTTAACTGTTGAATTTTCGTTGATGTCCAAAGCATAAGGAACTTGCAAACATACATTTTAAACTAAAAATATATTTTAAGACATCTTGATAAGTCAATAAAATATGGTAAATTTTATTTAACGAATAATTTTTTTTTTAAATAACATTTTAGAAATTTCAAAAATTAGTGCAAAATGAAGAATTTGAAAAAACTTCGTAAAATTGCTTAAATTTCACGAATAAATTAACTTTATGATGTGTGGTGTTGAGATACATTATTGTTATTACTTAAATGCAATTGATTTAAAAGACACTAATTATAGTTGAGTAGATATTTCAAGTACATGTGTCATTTATAAAATTTACTAAAACTATTAACCAATGATCGAAAAAAAAACCACTCAATTTATCGATTTTTCTATTGTACAAAAGCACTAATAAGGGAAAATAGAAAGAAATGAAGATATATCATGAAATATTTTAAATTAGCTTGAAATTTATTAATTTAATTCAAATTTTCTTTCCCAAAGTTTTCACCATTTCATAATAAAGAAAAAAAAAAACGAAGCAAAATATGTTAAAAGCTTCAAATGAAAGATAGAATTTCAACTTAAAAATTAATGTAATTTCCAGGAATATTCTTATTATCTCCCGAATACTTTGAAATTGACGCATAAACTTTTTAATGTATGAAAATGTTTAAAACATCAAATGATACCATCATTTTTAGTATAAATCTAATAATATCACTTTAATTTATGTAAAATAAAACAATATCATCTTAATTTTATGTAAAATACTATTAATTTATGTAAAATAAAATAATATCACTTTAATTTTATGCAAAATACTATTAATTTATGTAAAATAAAGTTTATGAATTAAACTTCTTCCATTATAATTTTGCATTTTTTTTTCCTATTTTTTTTTGTCTAATCAATAATGATGAGTAATGTTTAAATGAGTTTTTTTTTTCTTTTGTTATTTATAAAAAAAATTCGAAATGGAATGATGAATTTTACTTGAATATGATATAATGTGATAGAGAGAGAGAGAGAGAGAGAGAAGGTGTGGCTCCGAAAAGCATAGCATACGCATATAATGATGATTCAATCCGTTCCGATCTGATCTCACCTCATCACTCTTCCTCCTTTCCTCATCAGTTCATCCCACAAAAATAATCTTCTCTCAAATATCACCAGTCATCAATCATCACCACCATTGTCATCATCACAATTATCAATTGATCAATTGATCCTGATCGAATGCTTAAGTAGCACAGCAACATCAGTATTACCAATAGCGCCAACAGCAACAGCAACAAACTCCCGGAAGAAGGAATAGCAACAGCAGCTTCCATATCATCCCAAACTTTCTTCATTTATTGTTACCATAGCAGTACACTTTTCGACGTCTTTTTAGAATTCAAATTTTTTCACAGCTCCAAATTTTTTGTTGAAAAAAAAGAGAGAAAAACGAAAAGAGAAAAAA